TAATCACGGGAAACTTCGATTAAAGAGAGTCTGTGTTGTACCCAGAGGGCAATGTGACAATGGAAAGCATGAATTGGAGTGAAGCAAGAGGTGATGCAACGGAGGGACTCTGAAGGTAGAAAAGAGGAAGGAATGCAGGTGGCCTCTGGAAGGTAGAAAAAGACCAAGAAGTCAGATTCACCCTTGAAAGCCTCTAGAACAAGCCGTGGGCAAAACTTCGGCCCGCGGCCGAATACGGCCTGCGGGCCGAATCCGGCCCGTTTGAAATGAATAAACCTAAAAAAAAAAAAAGACCGTACCCTTTTATGTAATGATGTTTACTTGAATTTATATAGTTCACACAACCCTCATCATGCTTTTTGTTTCCGGCCTCCCGGCCAGTTTAAAGACCCATTGTGGCCCTCGAGTCAAAAAAGTTTGCCCACCCCTGCTCTAGAAGGAGCCCAGCCATAATAACATCTTGAGCTTAGGCTTCCGACCTCCAGAAATGTAAGGGAATAAATATGTGCTGATTAAGCCACTACGATTAAGGGAAGTTATTACAGCAGCCGAAGGAAACTAGGACACCCCCTCTTCATACCGGGCTCCTCCACAGCTCCCCCGTGGGTTGAGCCAGGCCCTGGAGTGCCACGCCCTCCAACCTTATTTCTTTAACTAACACCTATGTGCTTCTTACTATGTCCCAGATGCTGTTCAATATTAACTTCTTTAAATTTCAGATTACCTCCATGAAGTAAAAACTTCTAGCATCACTTCCATTTTACAGGTGAGGAAGTTGAGGCACAGGCAGTTAGTGACTGGCCTGAGGATGCAGAGTCAGTAAGTGGCAGACCAGGGCTCCAACCCATACTGTTAAGCTCCAGAGTCCATGCTTTTCACCAATGGCTGGGCCTCCTGTCCCATGTCCTGAGCCTGAGTGAACACAGGACGTATCTCCCCACCAAAAGAGGGATTTCAGGCAGCTGTCAGGACCTAGATGTTGTGGCGCCAGAGGAAATCTTTCAGGACCCCTGACCACACATTCTGGAGAGAAACTTCGCTCCCTGCCCTGCCACACCCTGCCACCTCCCAGGAATAGGAGGCCTCCCCCAGGCACAGGAGGCCTCCCCCAGGCAGGCTTTGGATGTCTCTGCCTGACATCCTCTCTGGAAGGAGCCTTGGGTGACTGATATGTCCTTCTGTCTCCAGGGTGAATTCTTTGGCCGAAGCCAGCGCTCCCCAGTCCCCTTTGATGCTCCTCCCATCAGGCTGCCCCAGCAGCATGACCGCATGGCCTACTTTGCAGTGTCCCAATATGTCTTCAACACGGCCAGCCGGGTTTACCACCAGGCTGGGCACATGAACTTCACCATCCGAAATGAGGACGTGAGTAGGGGATGGAGGAGGCTGGGGGTCCAGGAGAGAGCATCAGGTGGGACTGTAAACCCACTCTGGGTGTTCTCGGAAGCTAGGGGAAGAATGTGGAACTTGGAGCCTGCCCAACATGAGTGCCAAGCCAGGCTGTGCCTCAGTTTCCCTGCGTGTGCACATGGACCCCCAGGGGTTCTATGAGAGCTTGTAAAGAGCTTGTGTCTGTCACACAATACACATTAGCTATGATTAGCAGGAATTTACAAAAATAAGACAGACTCTGGTGTGTCAGAATAGGTTCTCCGAGCAGCAGATGCCAAGACAGCATTAGACTTATAAGAGTTTTATTAGGGAAACACCTGTGAAGGGTAAAAGAGAGGAGGAGGAGGAGGTGGGAGAGCCCCAGACTGCGATGCGATGTGGTACCATGTGCTCTTTCAGACCTGACCACAGGCGATTACACTGGGGCAGGGCCAGTGCTTGTCAGTCTCTAGAAGGAGCTCAAGCCCTGCCCCACTCCCACCCGAGGCTGGCATATCAGGATTCCTAGTCTAGACACCTCTGTTCAGAGGTCTCCTTATGGATGGGGGAGGAGGGGAACCTCAGCCAAGACACTGTTCATGTGCCTCCGATGAGACCCCTTCCTGGAGGTCTCGAAGACAGTTTTCTTCCGTCTCAGTACTCAATACTTTTCTACTTGGGGCCCTTCCCTTTCTCCTCCACCTCTTCCCCCTGAGTCCACAGAACAGCAGGGGCCTTTGGTTCAGGGCTCCCTTGGCAATAAGATGATCCCCCCGCCCATCTGCATTGGTACATCTGACCCTCGAAGATGCCATGCCACAGGGGAAAATGGGCAGTGGGGGTGGGGGAGCGCCCTTTCCTGTTGGTCTCTTGCTTATACTACCACTTCCAATCCTGGCAGTGATCTGACAAAATTCTCCAGCTCTACCACCCCAGCCATGCTCCACAGGGGCTGGAGCCGCCTGGGAGAGCACGCCTCAGGTGTGAATGGTGTGGGGCCTGAATGTGAGCCAGCTGCCCTCCTCTCTGCTGACCCCCTTGAAGGGAGTTCTGAGCAGCACAGCTCCAGAGCCTACGCAGTGATAAGTGCTCTAGGAGCTGCCCGGTAGAGAGTGGGGATCTTGAAGGAAGGTTGGCTAAGAGCAGTATAGGCAGGGTTCCCCACGCTGAAAGATCAGCAAGTCATGAGGTGGGTAGAGAATGACACCACAAGAGATGGTGAGAAACAGATTTTGGGGGAAGCTATATCTGGAAGCTCACTAAATCCAGATTGTGGTGGTGATCAGTCCTCATTGGCCTTTTAGGGGATCATCCTGAAAAATAATCAATAACAGTACCAGACATTTATTAAGTACCATTTAATATGTTCCAGGCACTGCACTTGGTGCTTTCTCCACACACTATCTCATTTAATCCTTGCACAGCCTGTACAGCAAGTGCCATTATTATCATCCCTCTTTTACAGATACAGAACCTAACCGAGTTTCTCAGCGACCACTCAGCTAAAGGATGGTGGAACCCAAGCTGTCTGGCCTCTGAGACCACGCCTTTCATCACCACGATGTCCTGCTTCTTAAGCAACTTCCTGCTTCTGCTGCAGAGTCCCCTGGACTTTCCAATTCACTTGCACACCAAATCACTAGGGGCTGTGATTCCTCAGGTAAGACCTCTGCCTACTCACCATAGAGGACAAGGCAAGCCTCTTGACCTAGGCCAGTGGTCAGCAAACTGTGGCTCGTGAGGCACATGCGGCTCTTTGGCCCCTTGAGTGTGGCTCTTCCACAAAATACCACGTGCGGGCACGCACGTACAGTGCGATCGAAACTTTGTGGCTCTTGATCAGCTGCCTCCTGCATGCCCCACACTGGGGATCGAGTTGGTGACCTGGGCATGTGCCCTGACCAGGAATTGAACCGTGATCTCCTAATTCATAAGTTGACATTCAACCACTGAGCCACACCAGCTAGGCAACCATCTATTCTTACTGGAACATGCCCATTGGGGTGTCTCACCCATCTCACACACTTTACCCGAGTGCCCTTTCCAACCACACAGCCATCTATTGAAAAGGAGTTCTGGAAAATACAAGTTTCTCCATCCTGAGATATTTCCACAGCTGATTTCAGGCCCTTAGAGATTGAGCCAGAGTCCCTTCATTTGTGTTCTGCCCTCTCCTGAGTCTCTGCCCTCTTTCTCCAGCTGGCCAGGTTGTACCCCAATACAGAGCTAGAACTTGAGATGTCACCTGAATCAGCTCCATTCTTGATGTTCACCCCTGGAAATGTTACCTGCATGCCAGTGATGAACATCCAGGCATTCGCCCTCCTGCCCAACTCTTCTAACCGCAAGCCACTCTTCCAACTCAGGGCGGTAAGTCTGATTCTGGCTGGGGCAGCAAAGGGTTATGTCTGCCATGGGTGTAAGCCCCTCCCTCAGCTGAAAGACTAGGAGGCTGCACAGCTGATAGATGCTGGAGGCTATTTATTTCCACTGGAGGTATAAGTGGGCCTTGCAATTCTGATCTGAACGCCAGGCTTCCCAAGGGCATCTATACCTCTATATATAACAGCCTAAGCCAGTGGTCGGCAAACTCATTAGTCAACAGAGCCAAATATCAACAGTACAACGATTGAAATTTCTTTTGAGAGCCAAATTTTTTAAACTTAAACTATATAGGTAGGTACATTGCTATTAACTTAATTAGGGTACTCCTAAGGCTTAGGAAGAGCCACACTCAAGGGGCCAAAGAGTCGCATGTGGCTTGCGAGCCGCAGTTTGCTGACCACGGGCCTAAGCGACCGTTAAGGTGAAATGACCAGAAGGACCGGTTGCTATGATGCACACTAATCACCAGGGGGCAGACGCTCAATGCAGGAGCTGCCCCCTGGTGGTCAGTGCGCTCCCACAGGGGGAGCCCTACTCAGCCAGAAGCTGGGCTCTCAGCTGGCGAGCACAGTGGCAGTGGTGGGAGCCTCCCTGGCCTCCGCGGCAGTGCTAAGGAGCAGTGAGCTGAGCAGTAAGGAGTGAGCAGGCGGGCAGTAAGGAGCGAGGGATCCCGGATTGTGAGAGGGCCTCTAGGAGGCAATTGGATATCCCCCGAGGGGTTCCGGACTGCGAGAGGACTACAAATTTCGTGCACTGGGCCTCTAGTAGTTAATATCAGAGTTTCAAGAAACCTTAAAAGTCATTCACTCCAGCTGAGTTGAAAATTTTAGCTTTCTCACTGCTATGTTTGTTATAAAAAATTGTTTAAAGCATAACCCTATTTAAATTGTTATAAATGAAAGTCATCAAATTATATTTTTAAAGAAGATATAAAATTTAAAGAACTCTTAAAATAGCAATACTCTTGCTGTTGATTTATAGATTCAACATAACACCCATCAAAATCCCAGCTGGCTTTTTTGCCAGATAACAAGGTGATTCCAAAATTCATATGTAAATCCAAGGGACCCAGAATAGCCGAAACCATCTTGAAAAAGAAAAATAAAGTTGCATAACTCATACTTTCCTATTTCAAAATGTACTATAAAGCTATATTAATCAAGATAGTTTGGTACTGGTGCAAGGACAGATATATAGATCAATGGAATAGAATTAAGAATCCAGAATTAATTCCCCATATTTATAGTCAATTGATTTTTAACAAGGGAACCAACACAATTAAATGTGGAAGAACAGACTTGCAGGAAATGGTGCTGGGGCAACTGTACATCCACATGCAAAAGAATGAAGCCAGACCACCATACACAAAAATTAACTCCAAAAGGATCATAGACCTAATGTGAGAGCTGAAACTATAAAACTCTCAGAAAAAAATATAGCAATGAATTTCATGACCTTGGGTTAGGCAGAGCCTTCTCAGATCAACTCAAAAGCATAAACAGCAAAATAAAAAATAGGTACATTGGAGTTCATCAGGCTTAGAAGCTTGTACTTTAAAGGATACCACCATTCTAGAAAGTGAAAAGACAGCCCACAGAATCAGAGAAAACATTTGCAAATCATATATCTGACAAGGGCTCAGTATCTGACAAGGGCTCAGAGATTCTCTGAACTTCCTTGATAGTCTGCTCCAAAGTCATTCTTATAGGGGCAGTCTCCCAATTCGAATACTCTGAGTCTAGTTTGGGCTTATTACCCCTTCTTCTTCTTCTTTTTTTTCGTGTGTGTGTGTGTGTGTGTGTGTGTGTGTGTGTGTGTGTTAATCCTCATCTGAGGATATTTGTTTCCCCAAGGCTTTTCAGAGGGAGTTAGGGAGAGAGAGACACACACACATTGACTGGTTGCTTCCCACACATGCACTGACCGGGGCAGCGAGTAAACCCGCCATCTAGGTACATGCTCTTTACTGTGATTCAAACCCAAGACCCTTGGGTTCAAGGGGCAACGTTCTAACCATGGAGCCACACCAGACAGTGCTTATTCGCCCCCTTTCGATGCTTCCATTAAGATGGAAACCTCAGCCCTAGATGGTTTGGCTCAGTAGATAGAGCATCAACCTGCGGACTGAAGGATCCCAGGTTTGATTCCAGCCTAGGGCACGTACATTGGTTGCAGGCTCAACCCCCAGCTGCATGCGGGGAAACAATCAATTGATGTGTTTTTCTCATGTTGATGTTTCTCCCCTCCTTTCCACTCTCTACAAAAAAAATCAATGGACACATGTCCTCGGGTGAGGATTAACACAAAACCACACACAAATGGATTTCTCTTTCTATCTCCCCATCCCCCTCAAATAAATAAATAAAATAATAATAATAATTTTTTCCTGGGGTCTTATCCGCATCTACTAGGGTTCAGGAATCTGAAGAAAGGGCTGTGATGCAAATTAATAAAGAGACTAGACATGAAATATAAATTTGGGAGGCATTTGGGGGGAACCAAGGGAGGCTTAGCTTTAGTAACTAAGTTCCCTGAATCTCAGGACCCAGAGCTTTTTATTCACACATTTTGCCCTATAGCAAAGCAGATATACATATCAAAGGTAAGGTTTGGTAAACAGTAAAAGATTATCAGGTTGGGGGAACTGCCTTCGGCTGCCTGGCAGCAGGCAATAATATATGCAGATCTTCAGCCCTGCTGAAATCCCAAGGTTCATCAGCCTTTTGATGAATTTCTTGCATTTTATTATGTCCTGCTGGAATTTGCTTCCAGCAATTTTCTAAAATGATGGAAACCTCAGAAATCTTAGCTCACCTTTCTTAAATTTAGCTATGGAGCCACCAATATCCTGCATCCTCAGTCCATAATCCTTGAGTAGCTGCCTTTTCCTCCTAAGTCTCACATCTGGCCGTGGTTTCTATTTCCGGAGATTTGTCTTCTGGACTGGGAGCCAACACGATGCCTACTTAGCCTTAGAACCTGGGTGATGTCCTTTTGCTTTCTAGAGAACTGACATCTCCGCCACCATCAGTGTGAGCTCCGGCAGGGTCCATGGCTCATTGACCCCAGGAAGGTAAGAGGCCACGGGTGTGTGGAGCAGAGCGTGTAGAATGGGTGGTCAGAGCATCTAGTCTGGTTCACTGATAGGGCTGGAGCTGCCTCTTGGAAACAGGAGTCTCCACTGGGGCTGTCTCATTCTCTAATCTGGCCCCTCCGAAAAATGCACATTGACAATGCCTCAGGGGAAAAGCCAGAAGCCGAGAAAAGCTATCAGGTACCAGAGGTCACCTTTAGGTTCCCCATCACTATGGGCTCCTCACTTCCCCTCATAGGCACCAGTGAAGGAGCTGAAACTTCTGCAAAGAGAGTACTTAGGAACAATAGTCCAGTTGGAGAGGGTGGGGCTTAGAGCTGTATTTGCAAGGACTTTACATATAAGATTGAGAAACACTGTCAATATTACACATCAGAAAGTGCAGATTTTGGATGGAGGATTAAAGGTGCCCCAAGCCACTGCTTACTGCTCCATTGCCCAGGTACCCAATCAATAGGCAAGTATTTATTTAATCAGAGTTTGGGCTTTGGATAGCAGAGACTATACCGCCCCCCAGTGGTTGGCACTTGCCCTAGTGGTACTCTCTGTCCAGAGCTCTCACCTGTGCCACATGTCTTAGCTGCTCTGGCTGCTGCTCCCTGCTGAGGTACAGGTGCAATGGGTTCATCAGAAGAACAAATTCCTGGCCTCAGGTTTAGATGTCTGTTGGCTGATAGAATGCCCCAGTGGTCGGCAAACTCATTACTCAACAGAGCCAAATATCAACAGTACAACGATTGAAATTTCTTTTGAGAGCCAAATTTTTTAAACTTAAACTATATAGGTAAGTACATTGTTATTAACTTAATTAGGGTACTCCTAAGGCTTAGGAAGAGCCACACTCAAGGGGCCAAAGAGCCGCATGTGGCTCGCGAGCCGCAGTTTGCCGACCACGGCGCCTAATCCCATTCAAATGAACATCTCCGTAAGACGTCTTTGAAAAGAAAAGCTAGTCTAGCCGGTGTGGCTCAGTTGGTAGAGCGTCCCACGCACAAGTAGGTTGCAGGTTGGATTCCCCATCAGGGCACATGCCTGGGTTGCGAGTTTGATCCCCAGTAGGGGACATGCAGGAGGCAGCTGATCAATATTTCTCTCATCGATGTTTTTCTTGCTCTTCCTCTCTCTGAAATCAATAAAATCATTTTTAAAAAGAGAAAGACGTTAATGGTGAGCTTTTGGAGGTCCCTGAATTTGAGTTGATGCATAGACCTGGCTTGGGCGGGGGGGTCTCTGCAGTGTCAAGGACAGCCAAGAGCTTAGACTGAGGAGACAGCAAAGTGAGCAGAGGATCTCACCCAATAATTTACTCTGGAATTATTAAAATGACTCTTCCCCATGAGCAGAAAGCAGAGATCTGTCCAGGGTAATTACAATTCCTGAACCAGGGAACCAGGTCAGCAGCCAAAGGGAGCAATGGGGAAATTGGTGTTGGCTCTTACAGTGACAGCAATCCAGGTGCCGAGTCCCTCTGCCTTCCTTCACTCCAGTGGCTGCTAGCTGCCTGCCATTACCATTTGTGGTATCTCTCTTTCTGTTTTGTTTTTTTTTTAAATATATTTTTTAAATTGAACACTAGAGAAAGGGGGAGAGAGAAACATTGAAATGAGAGCAAAATATCGATTGGCTGCCTCCTGTATGTGCTCCAATTGGGGAGTCAAGACCACAAGAATCGAACTGGCAACCTTTCAGTGCATGGGACAATGCCCAACCAACTGAGCCACACCAGCCAGGGCCTCCTTTCCATTTTTATTGTCTATTCTCATATTATACAAATAATCCATGCTCATGGCAAGATCAAAAATCACCCATAATTTTGCCCCATAGAGACTATTACTCTTAATATTTTCATGTTTCCTTCCAGTCTTTTTTTATACATTTATATATAACTGGAAACATACAGTGCATTACTTCTTATACTCCACTTTCTCCAGTTAATATTTATGTCATCACAGTTTCTTCCAAGTTATCAAAGGTGCTCAGGTAACACTATTTTTTAATGCCACTTCTTAAATCACAGCGCATGCTGAAAGCCTTAAATTGCAGAGGAGCCATTGGGGGCCCAGCCCCTGAAATGCCCTTGCCCAGGGACTACACACCCCATGGCATAAGTGTGAAAAAGTATTAGCCAAGGCCTGGAGTGACCATGCTTCTCTCTTCTTCACACAGTAAGCTGAAACTGGAACTGAAACACTCCAACATCGGTTTCTTCAATGTGAGTTGTTTTCTCTTCAGTATTTCTTGACTGTCTTGTCCAAGCAGGGCATCCTGGGGTTCAAGAAGTGACAAAATCCCAGAAGAAGACGCACTGCAATCTTGCTGGAAATGAGACACCACATCTGAAAGTCAACTGGCCAAGAGAGGCATTGCCTGAGGGCTCAAGGGGTGACAGGACAGGGACATTGAGAGTATGAGCTTTGAAGGGAGATAGATCTAGGCTCCTAGATCAGCTCTGCCACTTGCTAGCTGTGTGACCTTAGCAAATCACTCACCTTTCTAAGCCTGTTTCCCTGTCTGTAAAATGGGAATAATAGCATCTACCTCAAATGGGGGCTGTAATATAAAATGGGGCAATGAATTCAGTAAGACACTTTGACAAAATGTCTCACATAATAAGCTTTCAACATATGTTCATTATTGTAATAATAGTAGCCCATGTACACAATCCCTGATGGTTTTCAAAATTGAGACTTTTTGAGATAATATGGGGCATGTACCACATTATATAACAATTCCAGCAGGATCTAGGGCAGCACTCTATAATCAAACACATTACTATTTCTGCCACCAAATTTTTAAAATATTCACACAAAGTAGATAGCCCTGTGACAGTTGTGGTCATTTTGCCTTAAAATGAGCTTGCATGCAGTTATGGAGAATGAGGTTCAGAGATTTGGAGTTAGGGGGGACTGTGAACAGGGAGCTGTTTATCTGTGGTGGTGACAGGACAGTCAACCTCTATTTTGTAAATGGAATGACATGTCGATGTGCCCAGAGGTGGGGGCAGATGTTCTTTTCTTGGACTCATTTGATCCTTTTGCTCTGGCCCCTCCTGTTCCAGGTGCAGTTGCTAGAATCCATCTTCAATTACTATGCGTCCTACATTATATATCCCTCTCTCAATGGTAAGAATAGCTGCTACTGACTGCCACGTGTGAAGGCTGAATTCTACCCTTTCTGTAGCATTTATGGTTCATTCATTTAACAAATTGAGCCTGTCTTCTGTGCTGGCTGGGGTACTGTCCCTCACAGAGTCTGCACTTAGTTGGGAAGGCATACGTGTAAGTTGATAAATGCCACAACAGGAGGAAGAAGTAGGGGCTGCAGGAGCTAGGAGGAGGCACTGAACATGACTTAGAGGTCACCCCAGGAGGTGAAGGCTAAGTTGAGTCCAAAGCACAAGGAGTTAGACCCAAGAAGAGGGAGCATTCCAGGTGGCACGTGGAGAACACCTGGAGTTAACACCCGTGGGTGCTGAGCCAGGTTAGGACTGTGGTCCTTGGAGATGAGTCCCTGGATAGAAACACTGCACGGCCCAGCCCTGGCCACTTTGGGTGACGATTGAGGAAAGGCTCTTGAAGGGACAGAAGCCCAGGAGGCTGTAGACTCCTAGAGGCTGCATTTCCCAAGTGTTTGCCTGTGTGTACCACTCCCTTCCCCCCGCAAAAAAACCACACAGCCCCGAATCCAATAGTCTCCATTTCAGGGGCCCACTCTCGTTGGCCAGCTGCAGATGCAATGTCTGTGTCTCCACGCCTCCCAGTGTTTTCTGTCCTGCCCACTCTCTGCTGTTTATCTTCCAGCAAAGTTTGAAAAGGGCTTCCCACTCCCTCTGCCCAGGGACACCTACCTCAACAGCTTGGAGCTCCAAGTCCACAAGGTCAGTGAGAAGTGGGGCCTGCTGGGGAGCTCTAAGAACGCCTGGGAGGGCTGCTTTCGGGTTGATGGATATTAGGGGGAGTTCTTAACTCCCACTTACATCCTAGACCTAATTTTCATAGAAAAAAATGAATTTTGGAATATAAATGGCAGGTTTTGATGATCTGAAATCTGGGCTTCATGTGCAATAGCTCAGTCCTCAATAATTCAGGTCCAACGTTAATTGAACATCTACAGTGTGCAAGGTCCTTAGCCATGTATGGCAGAATGTGCAAAGGCGTCAGATCAGATGCAATACTTTTGGGTTGAGGAGAGGCCACCTGAAGAAGCCCTGATGTCCTTGGTGGAGTGAGGGTCCCCACTGGGCACTGACCAGCCCTCCTACCCACAGCAGCAAGGGATGGTCCTGGGGAAAAACTGACCATGCCTTCTAGTGGCAGGAACTTATCAGGGCAGGGGACAGGGACCATCATAGTACAACTTAGGATATAAATCCAGAAGGACTAGTTTGCAATGTCTTCACTGTTCCTATGTTCTTTTTAAACTTTTTTAAAAAAACGTATCGGTCATATTTTTTACTCTAAGGTAATCCAAGACATTCTCAGAAATTATGTGAGGGGAAGAACTCAAGCGGCACCTGAGTATACATTCTCCTCCTGGGAGAAAACATTTTGGAGGAGAGTGGTTATAGATGTCTTCCAGAAACCAGAGCTTAGGATATGCAAATAATTTCTTGGGGGCCAACAGCTGATAAGGACAGTTTTATTTTTATTTTAAAATATATTTGTATTGATTTCAGAAATGGAGAGGGAGAGATAGAAACATCAATGATGAGAGAAAAATCATTGATCGGCTGCCTCCTGCATGCCCCACACTGGGGCTCAAGCCTGCAACCTGGGCATGTGCCTTTGACCGGAATCAAACCCGGGACCCGTCAGTCCACAGGCTAATGTTTATCCACTGAGCCAAACCAGGGAGGGAAAGGACAATTTATAAAGACCTCCTTTTATAAAAGCCTAAGGTCTTGGTTTCTGCACTGATTGGGTTTTTATTCAATAACTACCCTCTCCCTATGAAAGTTTCCCTTCCAGGAAGCTCCTATGCAACTCAGATAATGGCCTTTCTTGTCTGCCCTTTTGCCTTCCCTCCAGAACTTCTTGTTCGCAGGGGCCAACATTGACTAGATTGAAGACTGAGGAGCACCTATGGCTGGAGGCGTGGACACACCACAGCTGGACTTGCCCTGTGAGCCCCAGTGGCTGGGACCATTCTGTTTCCTCTCCCATGAGTCTCCCTGTTCCCGTGGACACTAATCACCAGGGAGCCTATGGCACCTGAAGACCACAGGACACCTTCCCCAGCTTCATCCTCCTCCCCTTCCCCATGTCCCTACATGTTCTCCTTGCAGCTGTCCTCAGCTTTACTCTGGGGAGCTGACCCCCATCTCCTTACCTGTCTGGTGCTACAATAAACCTTGGTGAAGAAAAAGAAGCACGGGCTGTGTCCAGTCACCGTGCAGCCCAAAGCATCCCACTCAAGGTTAAACATGCGGATCACCTTAGTTGTACACGTCATCTGATGTCATGGTTAAGGGAGCAAGTGTCAGACAGTGAGCTCAAAGCCTTGTTTTTGCTGCTTCCTTGGTGTGCATTTATTGAGATGGGGCAAACAAAAGGTGAGGGAATTTACCACAAGACCTACCTACATTATAAGAAATGTTGAAAGGAGCTCCACCTGAAACAAAAAGACCAAGTATACAAAACTGAGCAACATGACTGACACTATCAATATACTTATCAGTGATTCCCTTGAAGGCACAAACTGTCTTTATTCACCATCACACCATTTCTAACATGGTGTCTGGCTCATTGCTTTTTTAAAATGAACTTTCAATCTGTCCATCTCTCCATACTCCTGGCTCTCGATTCTGTTCTGGAACCTCCCACCAGCTACTGCTACAGGCCTCTGGTACCCTGCAGTTTCCAGGCAAGGATCGTGCCTCCTCGACCTTCCTCTTGGTTCCTGGGTCCCCTTGGTTGTAATGCTCACCTGATTTCCTCAGGCCCTGAGGACCAGGGCTGGCTCCTGCTTCACACAGAAGCAGGGATATGGCCTGGTATCTGACAGGATGTGCCTGGTGTCCCCACAGCAGCAGACATTACCAACCAGTTGCAACTTTTAAGTGGACCCAGATTCCTTCTCTTGGCATCTTTTCAGGCAGCTACAACCAGCTGACTAAAATGGGTCAAAGGATAGTCCTTGGGTAGGTCTTTTTTGTTATCTCACCTGAGGATAACTTTTCCATTGATTTTTAGAGTATGGGAGAAACATCAATGTGAGAGAGACACATCGATTGACATCGATTGGTTGCCTCCCAGACGTGACTGGAACAGGGCCAGGGATAGAACCTGCAACCCAGGTATGTGCCCTTGACTGGGAATCCCTTTGGTGCATGGGCCTATACTCTAACCACTGAGCGACACAGGCCCAGCTGGGGCCTTGGGTAGGTGTTAAAGAGGGCAAGGCAGAAAAAGAAGCTTGGGGGCAGAGTGGAACATGTCAGCCATGAGAACGCCTGCCCCTGCAGTAGAGACCAAGGTGCCAAACTCGGGCAGGCTAGACAGCCTAAATTCTGCCTCAGCCCAGCCAATGTGGTTTCTACTTCAAATGCAAAAGTGGACAATTAACTCAAGCCTTTCATCATGGCCTTCGGGACATCCCCATGTAGACCCCTCTATCTGTAAAATGGGATTAAAAAATTCATGCATGCACATCCTCACATTGTGGCAGTTTTTTATTTTAAACCAAAGATCTCCAAAAAGTCTGACCCCAAGGACACGACACCAGGGTCCAACAGCAGCTGCTCCATTCACCCTGCTCCCACCTTTACATAGTGACCTGTCCTCTCAAGTTGACACCATGTATTTTACACCCCAGATAAGTCGACCAACTCGTCCATTTGCCTGGGACTTACCTGGTTTTAGCAATTCAAGTCCCTCATCCTGGGAAACCCCTCAATCCCAGGCAAACTTGGACAGTTGGTCACACAGCAGGCAATTTTTTATGAGCCAAGCCCCAGAACTCCAGGACACCCCACTTTCTCTGACATCAGCATCCGTCTCTCTAGTCCACTGTCACCAGCCACCCTTCCAAAGCCTTGGCCTGACTGCTCCTCAACACCTCAACTGTCATGGGTCCTAAATCTGAACCAAGTACCATCCCTTGTTCACCTCCTAGTCCTAACTGAACACTTCAAACAACTACCCACGTGCCACGCCTCAGGAGAGTGAGAACACGCCAGGACTGAAAACGAGATCTGGCTCATGACCCACTTTCTCCAGGCCCAGCCTTGCTGGCACGTGGCTTGATGCTGCTTTAAAAGGCAGACAGAGCACGCTGGTCAGGTTTACTAAATGGGTGGTGGAGGAAAGTGATGAGCAGCTACAAATTCAAGAGAAAAATTCTTGGCTACTAAAGTCATTCTGGGCATGGCTGAGGGACACGGGCTGGCCCTCTAAGGGTGCTGCTGTCAAGACGCAGAGCTGGTTGAAGTGGACCCCCAGCTTCCCTCTGGTCTCTTGTGCAGAGTGAAGCTGTCCGTGATGCTCTGAGCAGGCAGAGGGGAGAGCTGTGGTGCGGCTTCATGTGGGGACCTGCCTCTCAATTCTCGGCCCCTCTGGTCTCCACAAACACCGAGAGAATCTAAAAGAAAGAAAAGGTGAGTCCAGTGGTTTGGAGCTCGCATCTGCATAAACACAAAACAGCTTATCCTCTAGCTATCGGTTCCCAGCCCTTGGCAGTAACTCACTTTGGTGAGAAATATCAGGAAACCCAGCTCCCAAATCATCCCGAGGGTCACTGGTTCATGGCCGTGGGACTTTCTTCAACAGTCTGTGATCTAAGGCTGGCCTAGGAGGAAGCATACAAGCATTCAGCCTCTAGTGCCATCTTCTCCCCAAGCGACATCACCAAGAGGGCCCCGATCAGCCAGGCCCAAGCTCCCAGTGTATGCACACCAAACTAGGTAGCACCTGAATGGAAAGGGCAATAAAGGAAAACAACTTAAAATTAAAAGTCCACTTTTTATAGGAAATGATTTTCTTTCAAGTGGTTCATGATCAGGACAGCTGACCCAGATAAGAGTAACCCTCAAGAGGACAGCTCAGCCCTCTGTCAGGGGCTTTGACACAGGTCCCACGGCATCTTGACCACCATCTTCAGCGGCTCTCACATCGTACTGTCATTATTTATCTGCCTAGCCCAGGGGTGGGCAAACTTTTTGACTCGAGGGCCACGATGGGTTCTTAAACTGGACCGGAGGGCCGGAACAAAAGCATGGATGGAGTGTTTGTGTGAACTAATATAAATTCAAAGTAAACATCATTACATAAAAGGGTACGGTCTTTTTTTTTTTTAGGTCCCACGGCATCTTGACCACCATCTTCAGCGGCTCTCACATCGTGTTGTCATTATTTATCTGCCTAGCCTGTCACCAGGCCCCAGGAGCAGTCATCCTGTTCTGCAAAGACCCACTTTATATGACCCAGCCAAAAAAGGCAAATAAAAGATAAACTCCAGCAAGACTTGTTAGGCGCCCAGATCTTTGAAGATCAAGACGGCCAGACCCTGCCCTGGCCAGTGTGGCTCAATTGGCTGAGGATCATCCCATGCACTGAAAGGTCACCAGTCCAGTGTGTGGCAACCGATGGATGTTTCTCTCTCTCAAATCAATAAAAACATTAAAAAAAAAAAAGACTGCCAGACCCACTGAAAGCTAAATGAAAAAACATCATCGAAGCCTCAACACATTACATAAGCGAGCCCCAACTCAATCCACAGGTTGCTACCCCCAGAGGTATGAATTACCAGGTGGGAGTGGTAGTGGTGATAAACTGTCTTTTCAAAAATGGTCACCACTGTCCACTAAATCCTCCAACATGACTGAGGAGCCCCAGGCCTGGTAACCAGGCTGGGGGACAGGACAAGCCTCTGATGCAAAAGGGACAGAGGGCAGGTTTGGAAATCTCACGTTTATTAGATGACTGCCTGTACCAGGTGGCTCACATGTGTTATTCTCACTACCTTCACATCATCATGAGACATATGGCAACAGACATGGCAAAACTGCATCCCATCCTCAAAGACGAGCGACATGAATGTCAACGGAAGAGCACCTGGGAACTAGACAGGAGTCCTCAGACCAAAAGTGGGGACCAATGAGAAGAATACCTTGACCTCACCTCCAACTCACCTCAGCTAAGACGTGCCTTCCAGGGGCACCACGTTGCATCTTCTGAGTATACAAAGTGAAGGCAGCGCCACAGGTTTCTGCCTCCTACAGAACACACCTGCACGGAACAAAAGGCAGAAGAATGGTTGACTCCATGTCTGGTGTCCAGTTAGCAACACACCATTCTAACAAGAACCAGAATACAAGCCATGGTTCGAGTCTACAAATACAGATTCCAAAGATCCACAGGCCCGAAAATGTCTTCTCTAGTAACACCCAGGATCACCCTTTTCAAGAGAAACCACAAAAGCACAGGTTAAATGTCAGCGAAAGGAGAATAAATAGTCAATGTGCTCGACTCTCCTCTGTGACTGACAAGAAAACTCCTCAATCTTCTGGTAGACTGTGACAATACAAACTGATTCGGAATTGATAGAACCCTTTCTGTCACTACACTTGGCCCCCAACTTTATTTTTTCCCTCCATTAATTTGATATTACCGACGGCTCCTGGAGAAGCAATATAGTCGTGCTCAAGAGTCAAGGAGCAAAAACACACAAACACCACTGGCTGTCTTGAATAATGTATTATTATTATGGATTATCCTACACTCCTATAAATTTATAAAGCAGAACCCATGAACTATGCATGCCCTTCAGCACTATCTGAATTTACTCCACTGTGAGGTACAAATGTAAACACATGGACTGGTTTCTGGGGAGTGGATCCTTAACTTGAAAAGACAGAGTGAAGCCCACAAGTCAGGGGGTAGCCCAGTCACTATTATCTCATGAGGTCAGCGAAGGACCAAGCTCTGAAGAGAATGGCAGGAGAAACAGCTAGTGTGTGAAAGTTCCAGGGTTTGGAAGGGACAGCTGGACCCTTCAAACACGGGGAAAACTCCTTTCAGCAATCCTCTCCCTGCACTATCAATGACCAGGGCACAGCAGCCCACGATCACTTTCGAATGCAGGAGCAGAAAAGGACAGTCAGGGCGGGAGGCTGGTACCAGGGGCATGGCTGAGACAGGCGAGCGGCCCAGCCGAGCAGAACCCCAACAGCTTCTCCTGCGTCCTGCAAAGACCCTCTGAAATCTCTGCCAGAGTCTGGACACTACCAGCATAAAAAAGAAATGCTGTAGCGTTGGGAAAGATCAGGATCATGTGGTCATGACACCAACATGTAAGAGAGTTAAAAACCTTCTGTGCTACCCCAGCTTTGATTTTCAGATGAAGAAGTAGAGAGACTAGGTCACAGCTGGATAGGTTCAGAGGTGGGACCAGAGTCTTTGGCATCTAAACCTACATGCTTTCCATCACAGCACCTGCTGACACTCCGGCACTTGGAAGGGCGATGCCCCAGGGAGCCCCTTACTCAGGCAGGTTCCTAGAGGCCCCTCTCTGTAAACATGTGAAGGGCTGCCCAGAGCAGGGACACAACTGTGGACTCATGAATTTACCTCCCTTCCCCTTACATTTTTCATCCAAGTCCCAGGGAATACGCATGTGACTTTCAGATGTAAAACAACAAATTCCAGAAAATGGTCCAAAAAACTTACCTCAGGACCCCATGGTCTAGCGCCTGGCTGATATGGAGACTGACATGAAGATGACTGCCACCTCCCATGGCACCTCTGCACCCGCAGACCCATCTGCAAGGGACAAGCCATGAACAGGCACTCGTAGCAGGCCCCGGGGCACAGAACACGGCACAGTAGCTGGCAGATTAGAGCACCGACAATGTGAGCTGTTAACAGCCACACTGCCATCTCAGGAACAAGAACAACTTAACTCCAGGAAGGGGTCTGCAGATCGTCTGTGATCTTGAGTAACATCTCTGTTATCCATGTGCCAACTGTGATCAATCTGTTGCTAACAAGTCTATGTGAAAGGATGCCAAGCCCAAGTTTTAGGGAGGGTGCCATGGCTGACTGGCAGTGACTAGTAGGGGTAATCAGGTAGGGGAAGGTCCCATGTCTACCATCTAGTTTAAGAGTTACTTACATATATATCCTCAACTGTATTGTGCTTGGCCCAGCTCTATTATTGTTCCCCTAACCACCCACAATGGGATGAGCCTTATTTTGTTATTTTGCTTTGTTTTTGTCCAGGTGCTGTATGTCAGCCACTGAGCACAATGCAAAACAAGACTGAGGCACTGCCCTCAAGATCATCGCATGGGGACATGATAAACAAGCCAACACTTCCCAGGTGTGATTAGCACTAGGAGGTGGGACTGAGGATGTGGGAAGGGGTGCATGTGATGGGGAGGGAGGCACAGAAAGGTGCCAGGAGGGGAGCCCTAGGAGGGGAGTGACTATCCCTCAACCATAAACTCGGTGCGGCAGGGCAAAAGGGACTCTTCAAAGAGCCACACAGCACCAGGTACCAGGAAGTAACACAAACTGGTGGGAAGATATGTCCGAAAGCGCCAGGGTTTGGAAGGGACATGGGTGGACCCTCCAAACACGGGGAAAAGCTTTCGCAGTCCTCTCCCTGCACTATCAATGACCAGGGCACAGGCAGCCCACGATCACTTTCGAATGCAGGGGCAGAAAAGGGCAGTGAGTGAGGCAGGAAGGGAGGCCACTGCCCGCAGCCTGAGAAATGGCTGAAGTGAGAACGGACCAGCTGACGGGTCAATGACCAGATTACAACCTAAGATTACAGAAGCCACATCTGACTGTCAGAGATTACTTACCAAGTCCCTGCCAAGAGCTGAGAGTTAAAGGGGAAGACTAACAGTAGGTATACTGAGAGTCCTTGAGTTCCGGCAGATGGCGTGTGAGCGGTACCAATACTGAACATTAGACAGCATTCCCACTCAGGCTCACAGAGAGCACCGCTGGTCACGACATACATCCAGGCTTGGCTCTAAAACGCAGCCCTCTGTCCACTGTTTCCTCTCCACATCACAGGAGCCTTCACCAGGGGCTCTCAGAAGAGGGCCGGGACCTGGGCCTGCTGGCCCCAGGGGTCAAACCCGGGAACACTGGGAAGCAACCTTCGCCTGCGCCCTCACCCCCCACACCTCTGGCCGATTAGCCTGCACAGAACTTGAGCTCTAGAGAACCAGACAGGACATCACTTACCTGGGATCTCATAATCCAGGATCTCCCTGAGGACATTTCTCATTCATGGGACAGCAGTCACATGACCTCCTGCAGGGGACAAGAAGCCAGCATGTGATGGGCCACTTGGCGCTGCTTATACGTCCAGAAAACCATCATGCTCAACAGAAAGCCACTGGGGAATCCAAGGGTGAGGATATGAATGCAATGACAGCCTGTCTCCCTTGAACCTCAGTCTACTTCATGCTTGGTCACTGCCACTCACCTAAGGCTGTCCCCTTAGGAAGGGGCAGGAGTGGGTCCTCTGAAGATGAGGAAAACCTTACAATTTTCCTTTGCCTGCATTACAGGACACAGGCACCCTCACTCACTTCAAGCACAGGCAGAGAAAAGGACAGAGCCGGCAGACCACAGCTATGGCTCCACAAGCAACCCATGCATTGCCTGAGGCAGGACCCCCTCTCCTTCTCCCGTGAAGGCCTCACAGAAACCAGCTCTGAGCCCACACGCAATAAACCAGGGGCCTGGAGGCCTCTAAAAGGTGGTGGGAGGGCGGAGGTGTGTGAAAGCGCCAGGGTTCGCAAGGGACGGGGTGGACCCTCCAAACACGGGGAAATGCTCTCGCAGTTCCTCTCCCTGCACTATCGATGACCAGGGCACCGGCAGCCCACGATCACTTTCGAATGCAGGGGCAGAAAAGGGCAGAATGTGAGCCAGAAAGAGGAGCCCATGTAAACGGCCACGCCCAGGATGCTGAGCTCTATCACCACTCCATATAGATTCCATCTCCCCTCATCATAACGGTCCATAGGACCCGCCCGCTTGGCTCAGTGGCTCAGTGACTGAACATCCTCACTCGAGTCCGGGTCACGCACATGCCCAGGGTGCAGGCTCAATGCCCAGAGGGGAGCGTGCAGGAGGCAGCCAATTATCATTGATGTCTCTCTCTCTCTCTCTCTCTCTCTCCCTTCCTCTCTGAAATCAATAAAAATGTATTAAAAAAAACTTTCACAGCTAAGGAAGGGCTGAGTCAGGATCTGAATCTCTCTGGCCCCCAAACCCTTCCCCGTCTACACCACCAGGCCCCCGGGCACAAGAGCTTGGCAAGGCAGCTCCCGGAGCCCAGGTGCACTCCAGGACCACCCGCTCAGAGGGGGGCAGGAAGGCAACAAGCCCGGAGTTCAGGGGGCTCGGGGGCAGCAGCACTTACCCGGGGGGCAGCCTCACCCTCTGGCCACAGTGCGGGCGCACCAGGCTGTGTCATCAGGGCCCTGGAGAGGAGGGGCGCTGGCTGGTGCGGAGCCCCAAAGGCCGGCCGAGGGAGGGCTGTCACGGCCTCCAAGAGCCGGAGCCCCTGGCCTGGGCCGGGAAGAGCAAGGGGGAGGCTTTAGTGCAGAGCGGGGGTCACCTCGCCAGACTGCGGGCCCTGGAGCACCCCCGAGCTTAATGCTCAGCCAGCAGGTCGGTAAACGGGAGGCTCAACACTTCCCTTTAAGGTTATGAAAGGGGAAGAATTACGGTCATAAGAGCACCGTGTAGGCAACAGACGGGTGGCTCCGGGAGATTAAATGCCGGGGCAGAGAAAATCGGGGGCTTTGTCGCCCCTCCGTTCTGGCCGTCAGCGGGCACTGGCCTCCCCCGGGCGGGTGAGCGCGGGGATCGGGCGCCCGCACCGGCTCCGAGGCAGCGGCGGCAGAGGGCGCGGCCGACCTGACGCCCTTTTCTCCAGGGCACGAACCCGGAGAGACCCACACCCGGCGGAAGAAACGGGCACCGGAGTGGGAGCCGGGCCCAGACTCGGAGCTGACCTCCGGCCTCAGGTTCCCGATCCTGGAAGGCGCAGACCACGCGCCCATCGCTCTCCGCAGTGGGCTCACCTGGGTGCCGCGACCAACGGCTCGGGACGGCGTGGATGTCCGCGGATTTCGGGAGGTGGCCTAGGTCGACTGCAGACGAGAGCCACGCGACCAGGACCCTCCTCCGGATGCTCGCTGCCGGCGGAAACGCGGCTGGGGCGCGGGCTGCGGCCCAGAGCGGCACCTCCCCGGACAGAGCCCGCGAAAGCGGTTCTCGCGCCCCCTGGTGGAGCGGAGTTCAAATTCTGACTCTGGAGGGATAATTTCCCAAAGCAGTCTGAAATTAGAGAAATAACATTCTATTTGTTCTGAATGTGTTCCTTGAAGGTGTCATTAATATGTAGAAACTAGAGGCTCAGTGCACGAATTCATGCACCAGTGGGGTCCCTCGGCCTGGCCTGTGAGATCAGGCCGAAACCAGCTCTCTGACATCCCCTGAGGGGTCCCAGATTGCCAGAGGGTGCAGGCCAGGCTGAGGGAACCCCACTGATGCACGATTGAGGCTGGGGAGGGATGCGGGAGGGCTCTAGGTCGTGTCCAGACCATCTCATTCAGTCCCCATTGGCGAGACCCCAGCAGCAAGCTAACCTACCGGTCTGAGTGTGTCTGCCCCCTGGTGGCCAGTGCACATCATAGCGGCTGGTCGACCAGTTGACTGTCTGCCCCCTGGTGGTCAGTGCACATCATAGTGAGTGGTTGAGCCGCCTTAGCATATCATTAGCATATTACGCTTTGATTGGTTGAACAGCCGACTGGTCAACCAGACACTTAGCATATTAGGCTTTTATTATATAGGATGATCACTCTTCCACGTGAGGAACTTTTATTAGCAGGATCTCGTTGTTCACTGTGTTTAGTTTGGGCAATAGGAATTTGTCTGAGTGACCACTGTATTCATAGCACCAGCTTTAGTGGCTGGCACAGTTGAACAAATGAGTGAATTCTGTCCATGTATTTATTTGGCCATCACCAGTCTAAAATATTGTCTGAGACTGGACTGTGAGGGAGCCTAGAGGGGTATGCATGTGCTTTACTGAATCTCGTCCTAAAATTAAATGGGATAAGAGTCCTTGAAGCAGAAGGGACTTGATCAGATTTGCATGTGAGGAACCTGATCAGATATGCATAGTGGCAGAGAAAGCAGAGGTCCTGTGCTCCAAACATCACAGTAGACACTGGCCTGGGAAGGGACTCATGGCTCCCAAATCTCACAAGCTCTGGCACTGCCTGCATCCCAGCCCAGGTGTACCTCTCAGACCCGGGGCAACCCTGCCACTAACTCAGCCCACATTCTGAAGTGTAAAACAGGGCACCCTTGGCCCACAGTCAGATTCCTGGCGCTCAATGCAGCACAATGCAGAAGTCCAATCCAGATGTATGCAACCGAGAGAAAATGGGGTCTCTGAGCATGAGAACACTCCATATTCAGTGTTCTGGGAGAAGTTGCTGGGATTCTAAGACTGTGAAAAAATGAGGGGGGACCCTCTATAATGGGGAGGGACCATGGGATGCTGTGGCTGTGAGGACACTGGACAAAGGGGTCAGGTATACACACTTGTGGCCACTCAGCCTGCTGCCCTCTCCTGCCTCCTGCTCTTGCTCTTACTCTCCGTGCAACCTTGGCGAAGTGACCTAACTTCCCTACCTAGCCTTAGTTTTCCTTTTCTGAAAGATGGGCAGAATCAGAGCTCCATCCTCATAGTGTTGCTGTGAAAATTAAGAGAAATGATTCATATCAAGAGCATACCACAGAGAACATGGCGAAGACATGGTAGTTGCAATACTTTAGTACTTCTGAGAAAGCTGAGGGCTTCTGTCACTGTGAGGACCCTGTGGGATTATTTTTGAGGCAGAGCAAGTGTGCTGTGTTTGAAAAGTCTGGTGGGCCAGACTTGACATTTAAAATAATTGAATGGAAACTGTGTTCCCTATTTTTAGTGATTATAAGACTTACTACCTAAGAAAAGCTATGAGGCCTGCCTGATATTTCTCTAGGGACAGGAGAAAGATACTTCTACTTAGAAAGTCTAAAGAGGCTGGCAAAAAAAAAAAATTATGATTACATACGAGGAGTCCTGTTTTCAACATACTGGTTGCATCAATAATGGATTGGGCTGTAGCTCTGAGGCCAACATTCCACCAATCTAGAATGTGTGACCTCACAGTAGCCGAGAGAGCCCCTTCCCTTGGGGGAAATGAGACCGTTGGCTGGGAAGATTCTTCCAAGAAGCTGATGCCCAGGGTCAAGGCTGGAAGTCAGCAACTGGCCCTGTGAGGCCTGCAGGAGCTCCAGGCTCCACCCCCACACTAAGAATGATCACCATGCTGGAGACCTCACTGTACCTGTTCATCCTCCTCCTTGCCTTCTTACTACTCCTCTGTTACTGCATCTTTCGGAGGCAATAAGCTCCGGCTCCTGCAGTTTGGAACTGAGGCCTAGTAGAAGCCTTGACCATTCCAGCCCCCTGGGGTTTCTCAGGCAGGTTGGGCTCTCCCTGAGCTGCCTCATGCCCTGGATCTTGGCCTGTTTTGGAGTCTCCAACAGCCCCAAGCCCTCTCTGGATGCTCTGACAAACTGAGATGAGACAGAGGGTCTTTCCACCAGGGTCTCAGCACCTCCTTCTCCCTGAGTCCCCTACTTGGGTCCTCCAACCCCACAGCCTCTCTCTCTCTCTCTCTCTCTCTCTCTCTCTCTCTCTCTCTAGTTTTGCTTCTGGCTCATTAAAGGTCACTGGTTTTGAAGAGGGGACCAATGTGGGCTCAGTAATGATATAAATGACTCAGGCAGCCTCTGCCATGTGGACAGACATGAGAAGCTGTGGTCCTCTTCCTTCAAAAACTGGCAGGGATGTGCCCTGGGGAATGGAGTCCTAGATAAAGACTGATAAACTCAGCAATGAGATTGGAATTTCCTTCTATCCATGGTGGACGACCCTTGCAAACAACCTTCTTGACTAATAAATCTGTATGAATAATTAACTTGGGCTTCCCTGAACAATGATTTTGGACCTTCCTTGCTAACTAAATCACTGAGATATTTGTGGCTAATTACTTAAACTGCCTGGCTTGAGAATTGTTAACTTTCTTGCCTGAGTACTTGGGTATTCCAGGACAAGGATACATGACTTTGGCTCATTATTTTTCACCACGCTAGCTGACCACATCAGCTCTTCACTCTGAAGACCTTGGGTTTCTGCCCTGGCTGGGTGACTCAGGTGGCTGGAACATTGGCCTGTATACCAAATGTTGTAGGTTCATTTCCTGGTCAGAGTACATACTTAGGTTGTGGGTTTGATCCCCAGTCAGACTCATACAAGAGGCAACTGATCGATGTTTCTCTCTCTCTCTCCCTCTCCCTTCCTCTCTCTAGTGAGGATTAAAAAAAAAAAAATTTGAAAAAAAAAGACCTTGGAGTTTCCTAGCCAAGGACATTAAACATCCTTGGCTATTTTTCTGGGACTTCCAGGATAAAAATAGAAGACTGCTTCTATGATTTTACCATTATGTATGATGTTGGCTGATGTTTACAACGTATATTCAATTTCTAAAATTTTAAGAATTTTTAAAAGTTATGAATGGATATTAGTTTTTATAAAGTGATAATGATGATGATAACTAAAACTAATTAAACTAGCTTACTATAAACAACTATTAAAAAACACTTATGAGCCCTAACCGGTTTGGCTCAGTGGATAGAGCATCGGCCTGCAGACTCAAGGGTCCCAGGTTCGATTCCAGTCAATGGCATGTACCTTGGCTGCAGGCACATCCCCAGTAGGGGGCGTGCAGGAGGCAGCTGATTGATGTTTCTCCCTCATCGGCTCATCGATGTTTCTAACTCTCTATCCCTCTCCCTTCCTCTCTGTAAAAAATCAATAAATATACTTAAAAAAACAAACAAACAAAAAAACACTTATGATACTGCATTTCAATGTATTATTCTACCTATTTTTAAATTGTGATAAAATCCACATAAATATAAAACTTACCATCTTGAGCATTTTAAATACTCAGGTCAGAAATGTCAAGTACATTCACATTGTTGTGCAACCACCACCATCATCCATCTCCAGAACTCTCTTCATCTTGCAAAACTGAAACCTTGTACCCATTCAACAAAGAAGACAGACTTTGTTGGTTGTTGTCTAGTGGGGATAATAAACAAATGAGCCAGCAAATGTAGTAATGAAAAATCATGACAAGTTCTACAGAAAAAGCGGGGGCACTGATGTAAAATCAATGAAATAAGCGCAGAAACTAAAATGGATTAAAATGAGTAAAACCATATTCAGAGCAGCCCTCCCCATACTCAAGAATAAAAGGATGTTTGAGCCTTGGCACATCCTTTTGCCATGGTAAAGGGATGGCCCTTGAAAGAATGATTATTAATTTTGGGTCTTCAGCAGGACATTCTGAGCTGGAAGTGGAGGTTCAAGGGAAGTAGTACCCTTATTATTTCTCACCCTTGGGGCCTCTTTCCCATACATATAATGAAAGCAAATTTAAAACCAGTCTAGTCTCCCCAACATCTCTCACTTTCAGTCAGGAAGAAAAGAGAAGGTGTGAGGTAGGGGAAGAAAAAAGGCAACAAAAGGTGAAGTAAAGACTGATAACATCACTATTTTGAACTAGTAGATCCTGCTTAGATGACTCTCTTCGTGGATTAGTAGAAGCTTTAAATGCCTACCTGGCCTAGTTACTGTCAGGCCTCCACTTAGCCAAGGCCACAAAGGGAGCCCCCAGGCATGAAAGGGTGAGTAGGATACAGAGATAAGGGGTGAGGAGTACAGTGGAGAATCTATCAGGATGACTGGAAGGCTAGGGATTCTCTAATGCCCAGTGGGGATAGAGGGGGCCTTGCCTTTGAGTCATCTCTGTGGAGTCCTGAGTTGTAAATCTAGGACCTGGATCCCTAGTAGCCCATAGATATTTCACAGTATTCTCTATGACCCACAGTCTCAGATTCAAATCAAGTCCAAACTCTTAGCATTAACTGTGTTATCAGTAGCCTCTCTGGCTATTGGAAGGCCTCACTTGTCAAGAATGACCCAAACCAGGGCTTTGGTTCAATAATTTGTACAGTATCTTGCCAAGGACCACATGTCCTGACTTCCAATAAGAAGGGGGAAGGGTTGCCCAGCCAGCGTGGCTCAGTG